TAAGATTTTTTTTTTTTTTGGACATTTGAGATTTGATATTTAGTTTTATAATATATTTTTAGTAATTATAAATATGTTTGTTATCTACTCTTTCTCACTATTTAAATTTTGTTATTTTTAATTTAGTGTACAAAATAATCATGGGCCATGATATTGCACAAATTTAAAAGAAATTTGTTGGAATAAACCAAAGTGTAATAGTAGCATAACAATTATTCTGCTTGCTTTTTTCCTCTTTTAGAAGAGTTGAATAAGACCATAGTGTATTGATTACTGTTTCCAGGAGGCAGGAAAACAGTACTCCTGGAAAACAAATATGGCCAAGATGAATTAAATGCTTGATTATTTCAAGGAAAAAAACAGCTGGTCTGTCACATTATATTCCTTTCTTATTTTAATTTATTTTGAAAACTTAATTGTCAAAACAGCAGCACTTGTAACATAATTTCTTATTTCTATAAAAAAAACAGCATAATTATATTGTAAAATGTCATACTTTTTTATAGAGTATTATTTTTTAGCATATAAGTTTAATTTAAAGGCATGTATATTTATTAAGAAAAATATGACTAACTAACAATTAGATGTCACTAACTTTGCTGTATTTCTAGTTGTATCACTGTTCTTAACAAGATTTTCAATCTTCTTTTTTAAATTATAATTTTGTCGTGAAATATAATAAAACTCAATGCAATGATTTATTAATCTTAAAATTATATGATATTTCAATATAAGTATATACATCTTCTTATGAACTTATGATAAATGAAAAATATAATCAATCAATATTATAGAAGTATATACACCTGGACCATTGACCAGGTGAATAATAACTATTTTTAACTCTTATCATAAAATAGTCTGTAAGCACAATATTATTTAAATCAAAATGGAAAATTAAATTAATTGGGTCTCGAGGTGGGGCCCGGCAAAGAGACACGATAATGTGGTTGGGCCAATTTTTTCCAAATGGGCAGAAATACCAATACCAACCCGACAACTTATCCCGGATAAAGCCCACCCCAGTTTTATCATCATTGTAATTAATTACTAGTATAACATTGTAATTATCTAAGTAGTAGTTTGGCATTAAACCCTACCTTATTTAATTGTCGTATTACCGGGTCAATTGATGAATGATAGTTAATTTTGAAAATTATATATAGTAATACTTTTTTGATATAAATATTAATAAAAGTTTTAAAAAAAAGTAATTTATATGTAAATTTTATATATCAAAGTGTTAATAATATAGTAACTTGTAATAAATACCTACCACATAAATATATATACACACTTTAAAAAAAAAAAAAAAAAAAACCACATAAAAAACTTATAGTGATTGGGTGGTGGACCGGGTCAAAGTCTGGTTGACCAGGTATTGACTAGGTTTGATCGGGTCCATTGTTAAATCACCCACCCGACCCGGTCTCGGCTCAGAGTTGATCGATTCCCGAGTCAATCTGTCAGGTCGGTCTAGTTAAAGAAATTACGGTTATTCATTTAATTTCTTAATTAATTTAACATACCTAAGATTAGTATGCTTCTCAGCAGCTCTAACGAGCCACGAAAAAAAAAGATGCCAAATTGGCAAACTCCGCAATAGGAGAATTCGACTCTACCGATCAGCAAGTGTCCACATTAAGGTTTGAGTCGTTGTATTGTACGCACACATATTTGTACAAATGTGTCGATTATACCGTTTTATATTCGATTTAGGCGGTGCGCCAATATCGATAGAGTGAAATCTAGCTGAGCATTGAATGATACAATTATTAAGGGACAACAATTAATTAACCCTAGTAAAAAGAAACAATAAATAAAGGTTAAGTAAAAAAATGAAAGAAAAGGAAAGAAAATTTGTTTTTCATCAAATTGAAGGAGTCAAGACAAGTATTCTCATTCGTACCACTCTTAATTCAGTAAGATCATAAGCTGTTTTTCCTCCACGAACCTTACTTTTTTGTTTCTTTTCTTTTTATTGCTCATTTAGGGTGTGAGCTCGCACGTGCATGGTGTTTTGAAACTATTTATTGAAATTGAAATATTGAAAAATATTTAATTAGTAGTTACAAGAAAAAAACATATATATACATGTGTATCTACACTTTTTCGACATAATTTAATACTCAAATCATTACTTAAAAAATAACACATAAAAAAAATTATAATGTAATTTTTTTTGGAGATATTAGAAATTTGTGTTCTTAGAATAAACTGGGATTTAAATGTTAGGAGGTCAGGAGCTTGTAAATTGATTCTTGTGGGATCGTAACAATATTTNNNNATGTTAACTAAAACATAAGCAAAGAGAAATCTTGCGTCCCAAAATAAAATGTCAATTTAAAAGCTTATAAATATAGTACAAAACAACTTATAATTGGTATTGATTTTCTCGACTTGGTTTTTATAACATTATCTTATTGTTTGACATCCTTGGTTTGACTTTGACATTTCTTGATTTCAATGGTAAAAATGTCGTTGCTCCATCGCATGTTTTATTTATTTATTTGTTTGTTTTTTGAGCTTAATTAGTCCAGTTAATTACTTATGGTGCATGATTAATATTTCAAAATATATTACAAAATTGTATAAACTCCAGAGTCGTTTTATAAATTCAGTTGAAGCCCTCATATTTCAAACATTGCCTTTTGGCCACCAATCCATGTTAGTTGTACCCTAGTCAAGATGAACAAAATTTCTCCAAGAATCTTTGAATTTTAATTTTTTAAGTAGATTGTTTGGGGTTGTGCATGTGGTTTCTTTTGAAATATAATTCTCCTAAGTTTGCATAAGTAGTTAAAATGATAATATACACTTTTTTTTTCTATAAGCAAAACTAATGTGTATTATATTATTTTAAACTCAATGTTTGAGTATAATTCAATACTTGTAATCACACCCTATGAAATCCCGTCGAGCAATTTATATGGAACAACTTAACACAACCAATTCATATGTTGGAAATAGTGGTTTAAATGGGTCAAACCGAGTTGAACTTCAAATACTCGAGTTCGTACTCGGGACTTTATAGAGACGAGCTCGCTCGTTAATTTAAGCATAAGCTTGACTTGAGTTTTGACGAGTCAAATTAAAGTAAAAAATTATGTAAAAATCGTTGTGATTATCGTATTTCATGAAGCAATTAGATTTATAACATGTTTCCAAATTTTTAATATTAAAATAAAAATCACCTAGCTGTTTGAGCACACACAATTTTTCAGTCCCGCACAAAGAATTCACGAGCAAGGTGGATATATATAAGTAGTGTTGCAATTAGTTAAGGTTGTCGAATGGTTAAAAATATACTTCAAAGTAGATTCATATATTTCAAACTCAAAAATTATACATTAAAAATATATATACATTTATATAAAAGTAAGTATGATATGATATTCTATTGTATATATAATGATTGATATACATATTTTTAAAAAAATGTAGTTGTCTATAGCCTAACACCATAATTTGTATGTATATATGTAGTTCGTTTTATTTAAAATCAAAGAAACAAATTCTGCATTGAATTTTAACATATATTTAATATTTGTGCTTAAATTGAGAATATATTGAGGTGGATTATTTACGTAGAATAGAAGCATTTGAAATAAATTATGTTTTTGAAATAAATTATGTTTAATGCATATTTTGTATAGACACAAACACAAGTGAAATGAAACAATAAAATTCATCACGAAGTCAACAAAATCCAAACTAATTGATTTCCAGTGCAGTTTTTCAAAATAGATCAAGGCACGAGAATACGAAACAATTTTTCTTTTTTTTTTTGGTACAAAGAATACGAAACAATTAAACAATAACATTTGTTGTCGAGTTTCCAGAACCAAAATATTTTTTTTCTAGGTATTAAAATATTGAGTATTAGAAATAATGAACTCATTAGACATACAAAAAAATGGCAAACTGGACAAATATAATATATCTATCTATATATATATATATATATATATATATATATATATATAGGATGAGGTTCAAATGAGAACTCACCCCTAGTGTGAGAACTAAGAACCCATCCTATCCTTTGATCACATAGTTATCAATGGTCTTGATTATTTAATTGATTGTATAGAAAATACCATGATTAATTATGTATGTCTATTATTGTCAAAACACTTTGTTATTAATTACGTTACTGCTAGCTTTTTAGGAAATGATTTGAGTCTTTTTTTTAAATGGTAAGAATTACTCAACTTTCTTTTTTACTACAATCATCCACTTTAGTTGAATTACTCAAATGGAAAGGTTGGGATCCACTTTATTTTGATGTTGGCTTGTTTATAAGCAAATTCGTTTTCATTTCTCATAGTGAAAATCTCCTTCATATCAGATTGTTTGTAATAAATTTTTTTTTCGTGGGCACTGATTTAAAAAAGAAATGATACAATGATGGAAATTTTCTCATGGGCACTGATTTAAAAGTACGCATAAAAGTATTAATGATAATAACTTGTTCCCTCTTTCTCTTATTTGTTTGATCTAGGGACTTCACATTTGGTAGTTCTGATAACATTACGGTACGGCTATCATTTTTATCAATTTCCCGCACATCCTTAGACGAAAAAAATTGCACAATTAATTTTGCACGACATTGTAAAAAGTATAGCACAACTATCAACAAATATTAGCAACAGAATATGATCCAACATGTTTTGCTCTCTCTAACAAATCATGATGATAAATTTCACAGAATATGATCCCAAAACAATTTTCTTATATATAATGATGGTGCTTAAAAACAATTCATGTATAGATTGCATAATTTCTGACTCCAATCAACATTATCCATAATAATCATGGTGCTTAAAAACAATTTTCTCTTCATTATCCGAATAATCAGTATCCGACTCATCTCCACTCCAATCAACATTTTCAATGTCATTGGCTTTATCCATAATTTCTTCAGCTACATATGGTTCACCATGATGCTCGTAGTTCACCATTGAATCACCTTGCAAAGAAGTTGAATCGACATGTGTTCAAGAACAATTTAATAAAGTTTATTGCTTCATGTAGGGAAAAAAAACTAGCATATGCGAATACAAAACATATCAAATATTATTTTATTCATATTATCAAAATTTATAGGTAAACAAATCCATGAAGCCAACATATATAATCAGATAAACATAAAGTATTTAAAATGAAGCACATGTATTACATATCAATATCACAAATATAACTTAGCACGTTCATATATTCAAAATAGCACAATCAAATGCAAAAGTAGCATATTCTATATATATTAACATAACCACTCTCATAGTGTTCGACAAGATAAACTTCCTGCAAATAGAAAATAACAAATTTTTCTGAAAGGATGCACATATACATCTTAATATTTGTATTCTATTATATTTTTTATTTTGGCCTAATTTTCCTATTTCTAAATCATAAAACTCATCTAATATAATAACTTGCAACACGCTGTATAATATTAGCACAATCCAATTCATAATATTAGAACAATACAATATGAAATTTTATAGGGAAGCATATTGTTTACGGTAAGAATAGTCACATAGGGAAGCATAAGTTCCTAGTTCTTACACTAATAAGGGTTCACTATTTGTATTCTATTATTATTTTTATTTTGGCCTAACTAAAATAATAACTTGCAACAACCTGGCATAATAATAGCACAATACAATGCATAATGTTAGCACAATACAACATAACATTTATAGGGAAGCATATTTTTACACTAAGAATAGCCACATAAGGAAGCATAATTTCCTAGTTCTTACATTAAGAAAGCTTCAATATTTGTATTCTATTATTATTTTTATTCTGGCCTAATTTTCCAATTTCTAAAACATAAAATTCATCTAAAATAATAATTTGCAACAAGCTGGCATAATATTAGCACAATACAATGCAATATTAGCACAATACAATGCAACAGTAAGCATATTCTATATACAAATATAAGCACTCTCAAATTGTAATAATAATAATACTAATAATAATAAAAAAAATCAGCTCTAAATAGTAATGGAATATGATTGATCATGGTCAAGAAAGTGATTTGCCAATCCCTTATATAATAAAGCAAAAGGTTGATGTAATTACGCATACTTACAGTATTGCATATTCCTTTGAACAAAAGAAATTAACACAAATTTGAAACTTACATTATTAGCAGACTATAGAACAAAAGAATGACTACGAATAAGTTTAACAAAAGAATAAACAGAGATTTATTAAAAACAAACATAACACAATGACAAACTAAAATTATATCTTCTCAGAATAAAAGCAGCACATTTGAATAAAATATGTAGCATCAATGAAATGTTAAAAACGCACACCTTTCACGCGTCTACCGGTGTCCCACTTGTTCTTTACTACAACACGCGTCCGGCGATGAAATTCCTGCTCGAAACCTTGTCACGGCTGCCGTCGTCTCGCACCGCTTTAGTATATATGCTATTTTTTTCTTTTTTCTTATTTTTTTTCTCAAGAAGAATATGCAATCGTAGCCGTGAACATGAATTAGGATTTTCTTTGTCATATTGTTTTGCTTGATTGATAGAGTTGCCTTCTTTGTGACTATTCAGTTTCCCTAAAATCCACATTTATTATAATACAAGAAATCTCAAGAGTCTATATTGTTCCTAATTTACCCTGCAACTATTAATAAATTAATTTTTGTAATTTTGTTGCTAGTTTAATATAGCCTAATCCACACCGTCTAACATGCTAGAATGAACGGTTGTAGTTGGTTCCTAGTTCTTACACTAAGAAAGGTTCTTATTAGAACCCTACCCTATATATATATATATATATATATATATATATATATATATATATATATATATATATATATATATATATATATATATATATATATATATATATATATATATATATATATATATATATATATATATATATATATATATATATATATATATATATATATATATATATATATATATATATATATATATATATATATATATATATATATATATATATATATATATATATATATATATATATATATATATATATATATATATATATATATATATATATATATATATATATATATATATATATATATATATATATATATATATATATATATATATATATATATATATATATATATATATATATATATATATATATATATATATATATATATATATATATATATATATACAAAAAATAAATAACGTTAAAAAATGATAAGAGGATAAAAATTGAGACCTTCACCAATCGAACACCAAAACCCATTTTTTGCAGTAATATCGCTCCAACCGAACTGCATATCGGATCGCAAATTGCGTTGCCCCTCTTCTCTTTCCTCTGTTCGACGCAAATTTGCGTCCAAACGCAAAATATGCGTTTCATCTTTTTTTATTTCAATTGAGTTCTTCACTTTTGTTTCTTATTTTAATTGACCATTATCTCTTTACAAAATAATAAATTCAACTTAGTTTTAATTTTTGTGATTAAGAATGCTAAGATAATATGAATTGGAAAAATGAGTTTAAAACATACTAAAATGTTCTATTTTTCTTCAATTTCATAGATTTAAAATAATAACATATTATTTTATATTTGTTCACAATAGTAGTGTAAATATACATATTAATTTTATATTTTTTTCACAATAATAGTGTAAAATACTAAAAAATCTTGATTTCATAAAAATTAAATAATACAATATTTAAAAGAATATATATTATGTTTATCATTTGATTCTATGTTTTCACATTAATAATATAAAAGAATAAATATTGTGCGTCGTAATTTTTAATTTTATTTTGTGTATGGTAATTTTTAATTTCCCATCTTGTGCGTTGTAATTTTTAATATTATATTGTATCTTTTAATGACTATTTATTTATCCGATTTCATTATGTATATGATTATAACTTTATAATTAGTTTATTACATAAAGTCCAAATTGAGTTGAAAACAATAGTGTGGTTTAATTTGTAAAGTTGTAAAATATGTGGGTAGTATTAAAAAATTATAAAAGTTGATGTAAAAGAGAATATTCCGAGAATATTCTTTTGGATTGGAGAATGATTTTTTCGATTGGAGATGAATTATTACAAAATGAGTTTGAGTATGGAGTATTCGGTTGGAGATGGCCTGATTCACATGGTTCAGTAAATTAATTGATATCTTTGGAAAAATAAAAGACCAAAAAATATTAGATACTGACATATAGCTATCGCGTAAAATGATCTTTGGTAATAAAAAGCCAAACAAATATTTGAATAAGACATAGCAAAACTTAAAAATATATAAGGGTCTTTTTATTCCTGACTGCAAATTAAAGCCTGCAGGAAAAGCTTAGAACAATCACCACGATGGAAAACTGCCCCCGTTTAATTAGTTCCTATTATTGAAAAACTGAAATCCAAATTATCAGAGTTTTATTCCTAGTGAACGAAATTAAAATCTTTGGAAACATTTTTTCTTGTAAAAAATCTCTTATTAGTCCTTGCCTTATTTAGAAATTTCAGTTCTAGTGTGCTTGCATAAACTTAGGAATGTGTATTGTTTGAGATTTTGAGTGACATTTTAAAACTTTTTAAGATTTAACACTTTTTAATATTTTCAAATTTCGGAAGTATCTATGAAAATTCGAAGTCTGGAGATAGAATTTTGAGTGAATTTCTTATAAAAAGGTTTTTTCTTTTACAATTTCAACAAATCTTGTAAAATATTAACAAATCCTAGTCTCAAATAAATTAATAATACCTCAAAATTTTGTAAGACTTTAAAATCTCAAATGGATACATCAAGACTTTTAGAAGTCTTAAAATATCTAAACACACCGAGATTTCTAAAGTCTTAAAAAAACTTTAAAAATCCTAAATGAATACACCTCTTAATAAAGACCTTTAAACTCAATTGATCAGATGACGTGATTAATGTTGGTATAAATATCTGTTTAAAATTTAAATGTCTTTTATCTGCAGGGTTTCATTGCCGCATCAAGATCTGAATTAACCGTCCGATTTATTAATGCACATACATACAAATATATATACTTTCTTGTGATCTAATTAATATATATAGTTATATATAGTTATTACTTATTAGACGGCATCAAGTGGTGGAGTTGACTTCCGTCAACCAAACATCATTAGACCATTGAGATAAAATTCAAATTATTTATAGTATCATGTACTTAAGTTTAATGACATGTAACATGTTAGATATGTAAAATAAAACTGTACTACTCATTATACTTATGTTACAATTGTACTATAAAAATGATTGATTAAATATTTTAAATATCAAATATAACAATTGTACTATATAAATAATTGATATAATATATAAAATATTATTTTAACAAACGCAAATTGTATTATCTTTGTAGTGCATTTTCCATGACAGAACACTCGTAATTTTTTATCAACACGTGTTAAAAAAAATTATGAAAAAATAATGAAACTCCTTCAAATTCAAAAATGATTTTATGTCTATATCAATTATGGTAAATACTATTTCAATTTACAGTATGATTTAGATTTGTAAAATGAAGATGATCCAATAACTATACCTTAAACCAAAAAAAAAACGAAAAATATAGTAGTTAATAATGTGCACTGTCAAAAAGAAATAACACTTCAGTCGTTGATCGAATGGTTAAATGGTCCATGGTAACACTTGCATTTAAGTCTAAAATTTCACTTGTTAATCCATTTTATAAAGTAATAATTCCATTTACCACCCTGTCGATATGTCCGAGTGGTTAAGGAGACAGACTCGAAATAAAAGTTGGGCTTTGCCTGCGCAGGTTCGAATCCTGCTGTCGACGATTAATAATTTTTCTTCCTGCAGTGATACTCCCAAGTCCCAAGAGAAACAAGAGGATTTAGGCCCATAAATTTTTTACTTAACCTAACTTAACCTACCCAGTCCAAGTAGTGAAAATTGGTCTTCTGTTTTGGGCCCATAACTAAGCTCATATCTAACCCAATCCAAAGCCCAACAACAAATCAAACTGTATCTATATATATATAATTGCTAGCACATCATTTAATAAAATAATTTTTCATTTCCCGACTTATTTCCTTTACAATCTTATATTATTATTATTGTTATTATTATTATTTTGCATTCATCCACTATGTCTCATTAATGTTAAAATATTTCGGTTTTTGCTCTTTTTTTAGGTTAATTACAAAAATGGTTATACCAAATGTTAATTGAGTAATAATTACATTTTTTATTTTATATATAATAGTTATTATTAAAATCAACTAATTATGTTTACATTAAATGATATATGAAAGTAACATAAATATAAAAAAATATTTTGTAAAACTTTTTGTTCAAGTTATTTATTCCAAGATCAACATGGTGAGTGTTCAGCTATAAAAAAATTACATCATTTCATATCTCAAAATTACAAAACTTACATTATTAAATATATTTTATGGTATCATTAAGAAGATTTATATGTAATTAAATAGTTATGTATTGTTTATTTTAACCAATTATTCAAATTTTTTAAACATAATATAATTATCTAATTATTTCAATATTATATGCATATACATAACTTATTTACTTATAATACTTTTTGTAAACATATGTAAATGCACAAAATCAAATACTAGTTTGGATTTAAGGATTACAAAAATTCAGAACTACCCAACTTAAAAGGGGAAAAAATCATAATAATGACGGTTGAGTCAGAATTCCATTAATGCTGGACTATCTTTCAAAACTAATTTGTTAAATAATGAAAATAAATAATAAATAATACTCCCTCCTATTCATGATAAGTGTCGTTTTGGAAAATTGCACACTAATTAAGAATAATTTTTTTGCCAATAATAACCCTCATTAATGAAGATAGAGATGGATGTTTTAAAAAAAAAAGATGAAGATAATATGAAAAGACGTAGTGTATTTATTAGCTAAATGAGGGTAATAATAAAAAAATATGTACAAAAGATCCAAAACGACATTTATTTTGGTTAATAGTTGATAAAGTCAAAATGACATTTAAAAAGAATAGGAGGTAGTATGTTTTATATTCCATTTAAAAATCAATAACAAGAAGTTATGTAAGGGTAATTATAAATTCAAATTTAAAAAAATAGAAAACTAAAATAGCATGGTATATTGATCTTTTTTTAAGCCAAAAACATCATAAAAGAAATTTGATAACAGGTGTCATGACAACATAACAACAATATAACCTATGACAAGCAAATGAAAGCAACTTTCAATTAACAATAAATATTACAAAATTAAGTTTTACAATAAACAATATTTAGTTCAACATTCCCATTAATCCAAGCGAACTCCAACAAGAACACGAGCCCCACCGCGATTGAATGCCACCGTTGGTGCCCAATAGATCGAGTAGCCGCTCGTCTCAGAATGCCACCGCTGGTGCCTAATAGATTGAGTAGCCGCTCGTCTCCCGCTTGACTCTGAGGTTGCCGAATCACTGCACCAACAAGTTGTATCATGTCCGTTGATCGTCATGAACACTGACACTGCCGGACTTGGTGTTAAGGGAAGGTGAGAGATGAAACTGGCACTGACATGGGCTTCAGCCAAAGGCGGCGGGAAGGGGAATTGGTACTCTGACCGGGTGTATGTAATGGTACACTGACAATATATTAATAATTAAAACTTTTTTTTATGTTAATTTAATTTAAATTATTAATATTATTTAGTTATTCAAAAATGTACTAACAATCCTTATAGTTTACATTTCTAGATAAATTTTTGAAAATATTTATAATGATTTCCCGTCTCTTAATTGTAAATTGATTTATAACCCAATATATAGTTGGATTGTTACATATTTGAATGTTGGTTTTTTATTTTTTATTTTTTATGTGTAATCACATATTTTTAAATTAAGTTATTTTCTTCTTAAAACAATGTTTATTTGATAATTTTTTATCAACAAAAATGCTATGCAATATGCTACAAAAGTTCAATTTAAATCAAATTTCCAACAAAAAATTATTTTTCCATAAACTATAGATGTTGAACTTAAATGATAAATACATCAAATCTCATATATTTCTTTTTATATATAGTTTTTAAAAGTTTGAGATTGATACAGATTCTAAGTTTTTTAAAATTTGATGGTACACATATCGATATTTATATTTATAGTAAATACATTTTTACATGAAATGAGTGTTTGAATTTAAACTACAAGCTCGTTATAACTTTTAAAATCGGGCCCCCTGAGTGAAATTTCTATATCCGTCACTGTTGTCAATCCTTACTATGTTTGGACTTGGTAAGTTTTCTCTTGTTGAGTCAAATTAATCCACAGGAGGTAAATGGGGGAATAAACTGAGGGAAGAAAAAAAAAATAGGAAAAAGAAAAGAAAATGTTGAGAATTGTTTAGTCTATGTGAAGGAAAAATGAGAGAGAGAATGAGATAGATAATGAAGAACCGTCACACCTGTTGAATAATAAGAAAGAGAGATAATGAATTTACTTTTAAGGTGTACAAAAAGAACACCGATTTTTTGACGAAAATAATAAGCCATGTAATTAATGTAAACAAATATTTAAAATAAAAAATCATAGAATGTCATTTTTTTCCCGCACACCTCTCCTTTTGTTAATCGAACAAAAGTACCTCTTTGAGTTAGTTTAATATATATATTTGATGTTTGAAAAAAAAAAACCTCTCCTTTTGTTTCAAAACCCGGGCCGATAATGAGGTGCCCTTCACCTGGAAGGCTGGAACTCGCATCCACATAGCGCGTCAAGCATGAATATAGCTCTGAAAACTGTCAATGAAAATTATATTTACATTAGAATGACAATAAACTCAATTATTTTCAATAAATTCAAATAATAAAAAAAAAATTATGTCTAAAGTTATGGTTAATCAACAATTACATATAAGATCATTTGACTATTTTGATTTACAACTAGATTATAATCGTAAAATGAATATTACCTAATAAATATGCCTTAAACCGAACTGATCAGCTTATCAAACTCGGAAAAATAGTAGTTGGTAATATGCACTGGTAATTGTTATGAAATAATAAAATAATGTATGTGAATGACTATTTTGCCCTCGATGTATTTGTATTATTACAAATTGTGCCATCAGGAGTTTCCTATAAATAGGAGCTTCAGTTATAATGAAAAACACACATAAGAGAATACATTTTCTCTATTCTCTCTCTTTCTCTCTAGTTTTATAACACGTTATCAGCACGAGTTTCTACCCTCTAGAGCTCGATTTGTAATATGACGAAAGTATGCTCTACAGTTGCGTCTTATAGACGATCCTCTGTATCAGAAATTCGATTATTACTTATTGTTTTTCTCTTGAATAAAAACTCCATATGCCAAAATTTTGAATTTGACCTAATCAATTTCATTACTTCATTTCGGTCAAAGCTATCCTTCAAGAACCACCATGCTTAAGCATAGTTGAAAACTGTAATCATTTACATATAACTGTTGTGAGTATATACAACTGCATATAAAAGAGATAGAGAGAAAAATGGTGGGAGTGTTTAACAGCTCAAATTTAGGTATTTTTTTTGCTAATTTGAGTGTACCTCCAAATGGGTTTATAAACCAGCTCTACTAACTAATATTTATATTAGTTAATTTGACCGCGCGTCGCAACGCGGCAAAATTAATATTTATATTTTCCTCGACTAACCTCTACTAACTAGTAGTAGTGGCGAGCAAGGGTCGATCCCACGAGGAGTGTGAATCAAATCGTGAATTTTCTCGTATTAATTGAAATTATGAAAGCAATAAAAGAGGGGGGGATTGTGATTTAATAGCTAAACTAACTAAAATAAATAAGATCTAAACAAATAAAATAAAAATAACAATAAATAAAATAAGAGAAAGCTTCTAGTTCACGGTTCCGTCTACACCCTCGACTGACTCGTCTAATCAATTCTGGTATCAAATCTCACTATCTTATGAAATTACTAGCCCTAGGCAACGACACGGTCAGTTACCCGAATTTTTCCTTATTTTTAATTTAACCGCGAGACGCTCGACGATTAAACCTGACTTCTTGTACAGTCCAGAAAAACGTTTTCAAGATTTAATACAATTAGCCGCTTTACGAATTAGAAAAATAGGCTAGACTAAGTAGTGAACTCAACCGCGTTCGTTCACTTAATTAGGCCGTGTTATCCCCGGTAGTTACCATCTTCCGGTTACCTCTTATGAATTAAACACAACAACAATTACGGATTGCAGGCCTAATTCAGATGTAGATATGAAAAGCCTAATCTAGGTGATCAATCTAAACAAGACTAACACATCATGGTGAATTATTCAAAATAACACAAGCAATTTCAAAAAGATAACTCAATAATCAACCAAGAAAATCAATCAAACATCATCAAGTCGTAAGGTTCAACATCACCGGAACTAGAATAAAAACTACTCTAACATAATAAAATAAAAAGAAAAAGATAAAAGGGAGAGATTAATTATCTCCCTCGTGTGCGGGTGCGGCCTCCCTCCGCAATTCGTCGGGCTCCCTCGTGTATCTGTCTTTTCTTCTGCTCTGGTCCGTGCGTGACTATGGCGGCTGCGTGGGTAATCTCTCATGTACGTGAGTGAATATGATGGCTGGGGCGTAAAAATAAATCCCTATTCCAAGAAAAAGTCCAAAATATATATCCCCCTTTTCTTATGCCACGTCTCTCTCTCTTAAGTATTCCTAGTCAACATGGCAATCAACTCAAGTGGGCCTTTTATTCTACCTCATCTCAGTATCATAATAATAGCCCACTTCCTTCATACACAAAATATATGGGCCCTTTTAATATTAATTCCCCACGTCACCATAACTGAATTGTAAGGGCCTGCTACATGCAGTACGTGGCCTGCTGGTCCAGTACGGGACACCCCCGTACTCACTGGAAACTCTTCTTCGACCTTCTTCCGAGCATCCACACCTCATCGTGCAACCAGAATTAGCTCCAAAAATACTAAAAATAAAACATAAAAATATCAAAGTACAAGAATCCATCTAACAAATAAATAAGTCGAAAGACATATAAGTGCGACAAAATTAAGCATATAAAAATACGCTAATAAATATATAGTGTACACACTTTTTCCGACCAATCAAATAGAGAGAAAAATGGTGGGAGTGTTTAACAGCTCAAATTTAGGTCTTTTTTTTGCTAATTTGAGTGTACCTCCAAATGGGTTTATAAACCAGCTCTGGGACGACACGGTCACGGGCCCCCGGCCCGACACCGACCTTAGCAGACCCTATAAACACTCGACCTTTAATTTCTAACAAAACTCTGCAAGGAATCAGAAGTTGTGAACGGTGGAAGATCGATCGAAGAGAAAGCCGGCAGATGTGGTGAGGGTAACGAGAAGCATAATGATCAGAAGGACTCACTTCCGGTTTCTCCGGTCGCCCACTCCATCGGTACCCTCCTTTGTCGGGTTTTCAGTTACATAACAACTTCTTGTAGATGATTCCTCTTACGGGCAGCCTTGTTTTCTTAATGGGAATTGGGAATGCATAAGCTCCAGTGGTCAGAAAGGTAAAAAATATGAATGGTTCGTTTGGTAACATTATCTTGTTTTTCTATACTCCGCACATCTCTATTCCTGAAGATAAAACTATCATGTGGTCATCTGGCCCATATTTGGCTATTTGTGGGTGAGAGCATTTATGGCATTTATTTCACTGTTCATGAATTAAAAACAATGCCACAGATGGTCCACATTATGGCTTTTCATTTATTTGCACACTATTGTTTGCAAGAAAAGAGCACATGAGATAATCTTGGTTCATTCACCTATTATTTATCATCTTTCTACAGACATATTATTGTGCACGGACTTCTAGGAATGCAAAAGACCAAATATCAATAATGACATTTTCATATCATACATTTTATACAAAGTAGTGATTATCAAAATTCAGTTTTCTCTATTTCGCACTATCCTATTTAATTAGAGCTTCGTTTTAAGATCAATATTGATATGGTTTATTATATCATATGATTATGAAAAATACTTTAATTATGGTATTGTGAAAGTTATTTGATACATGAGCATGTGCATATTTATGGATTGGATATTGTAATATTTGGTACATGAACATGCGAATATTTATGGATTGACCATTGTGATATGAAAAAAAAAAAAATATGTGTGGCTATATAGATTAGCCAGTGCGGTTATACCGCCGGCAAACAATATTCAATGGTAGCCGACGGGTCAATGATAACCGGTGATGTGGAATGGCCTGGTGGTAAGGCCATGGACAACAAAATATGAATGGCTATATATATACATGGGCCGGCCAGTGCGGCTCTGCCGCCGGCGACGGGAAGTACTAATTAAGCAATAGCCGATGAGCGAAATGAACGATACTTTGTATCTAGCCATATGAAATGTTGATTAAAGTCCTGATTGTGAACGAACATGATATGGAGTTACCTGTTCCTGAAAAACAGTTGATAAATTCTCCAGGATTTATTAATGGAGAAACAAAAATTGATGAAGTAGTACCGGAAGTTACTACTTAATGAATAAATGATATATGGTATATTGGTACTGGAAGCTATCAGGTTATGATTAAACAAAGTGATGAAATGATACCAGAAGCTACCATTAGATGATTGAACAAAATGAGAAAGTGGTATTAAAAGCTACCAGCTATGGGTGATCACACAAAAATGATTTCCCAATATATTATATAAGTCTAAGGGGCTATATCAGATGACGAGATCACATTGGGATACGAGATCATACAGATATTACAATAAAGTGATCCGGAAGAAGCACAAATGATAATGATTGTAGTCATGAACTACTATACACTGAGAAAAATCGAAATTGATATTATTATTACTGAGAAACAAGTACAAAATGTTCAGATGGTGGAAATATGGAAAAGAGGCAGTAAATACTCGATGAATACAAAATACGAAAAGATTACATAATAGAACCTATAAAAGAAGGGTGCGTCTCGAGAGTGTAAAACTCCGTAACTCTGCCACCCATGAATGATATCTAGGTTCATATTTGAATAATATCTGGGTTCATAATGAGAGATCTAAAGGATCAAAAGCTCTTTTTCGCTTGACCCCTTGTGTTTCCACAGAATCTTGAAATGTGATGCATTCTTGAAGCTTTTTGATAAGTTCAGCAGACGTGTCAGCAGATTTGAATACTTCTCTCATTGAAGGAGATATAAAGGTTTGATATACTCCTATGTCTAAAAATCCAAGCAAACCATGAAAGAAGTTATTAAAGTTCAATAGACCTATGGGCTTGTTATGAAGTTTCAATTCTGCCCAAAAGCAGTGGTGAACATTGTCATTAGCGTTCCATACCCGCCTGGAAGAATGATAAAAGCATCGCTATTGTTCACCATATCCATCATACAATCATGAATGGAATGAGTTAACATCATGCTTGTGGAATCCTTGACGACCTTTGTTGAAACTCTACGAAAAGGTATGACACTTTTCACTTCTATCTCAAAACATTGTCCAGCCATTAAGAGACTATCATAGAAAGTATTGCTAGTCCCTCCATTCAGCAAATTGATTTTTTGATTCCCCATCTCTTTGACTAACTGACTTACAATATCAATAGTTTGAGAAAAACTTACCACTTTAGAACCACCAAGAACACATATGGTTTTGATCGGTTGAAGAAAATTATTACCTTGCGAAGACTCTGAAACATCCATCTATTTATTGATAAACTGAATTTTTCAAAACTTTGTGAGGCATATGATTATGATGAACGACTCGCTATTTAAATAGAAAGTTTTACAAAGCAATAAATAATTTTACTGTTTTCTCCTGACAATTGCAACTGACAGATAAGGTGTTGGGTTTTAAATAAATCTTATCTGTTGGCAACTATAAGTTTTTCTAGAAAATTACAGTACAACATACTAAACTGTATTAGTATGATTTTTCGTACTAACAAGACCAGTTTTACAAACTTGATCTTTTGAAATAATATTTTCGAGACTATAACGTTCTTCTTCATTTTTGAACTGAATCCATAAAGACATAAGCTCACGATGCACGTATCCACTAGGATGTGTCTCAAGAATCTGTTGAATCGTTTGATCCAAAGACTCCTTACTCAATCCATCCTTTATAAACGTTATTTTATCTTCTCGATTTTTGGACACGTACCCCACAGATATACATCGTGTGTCACAAGTCCATCGAGCGCATTTGAAGCATCCACCTAACCTTTTTGCTCTTCGTTTCTTTGAATAAGTACTTTTACCCATACCTGGCATATATTTATATGAATTTGGAAACTCTCCAGACAATCGAACTTGTGCTTCGATCAACCATCTAACATCATTTGGAATACCATTATTCATTAGCATCCTCAATCTTTCTAATCGAGATCGATAAATCCTTTTTATGATATTTTTCGGAAGAAAAGAATAATATTTACGGATATTTGAGAGTGCTAAATCCATTTGTAAATTCGGACCTTTGTTAAAGAAAATTGAATGAATTACCTGATAATTTATAGAAAAATATGATGCGTATGAGATACGACTCTGGACTTAAACAGTGTTCAAAAGTATGTGTGTCAGACAGCATGATACGATTCTGGATTTAAACAGTGGTTAAAAGATATTGTACCAGAGCCTACACTTAAAGTGCATTTATTGCCGCCGAAAAATGATGTGAAATGTTTGTGATAAACATGTCGCAACGAATTATTGTGATCACTTTAAAAATGTTTACCGATATTATTGATGACGGTTTGCATGATGAACTTATTCTTTGTGATATGAGATGCTTGTTCCCGATTGGTGAAAAATATTACTAGCTAAATATTTGTGAATCAATATATGATCAATCTGAATATGAAAGGGGTACGATATATATGGGCCCACTACCCCTCCATGTGTGCTACTAGATATTATGAATCCACTAGATAGCCACATGTGTGTGATTCGTAACCTGAAGTTACGAGATGATTTGATCAAAGAATGTGTATATGACATGTAACCTGAATTTACGAGATGGTTTGATCTAAGGATGACACAAGATGATTATGAAAGAATGAAAATAAGTGTCATATGAAAGTGATGAAGCTAGTAATATACTCACCTGATATGATGAACTCTTGAAAGAAAAATGTGCACACTACAAATGATATGAGTTCAAAGTCCTCCAAATATATGTTGAAATCAAGAACAAAATAGAGACTATATGAACTCCCCTCAAGAAATTCAATACTAAAAATACAGATCAGGAATCTGTTAAGATGAGGGAGAGAATCAATGATTGAAATTTGGAAATGATATATGCATCACAGTGAAAGTGTGCAAATCATAAACTATATGATACTGATGATGATGAATTATATGAAATGATATGATAGTGGAATAATACGCTGGAAGCATTGGTATTGTGCAAATTGAAATTCCCCGAATAAGTGATGAAAGAGGGTATATTTACTATTGTTGAAATCAATTGATAATGAGATATCTCAATATACTACGGGGAATAATGGAAATGAATAAGTGTCGACACAAACAAATGAATAGCGCTATATAAATGATATTGACGAGAATGAAATCAGCTGAAATGTGAATATTGGGAACTATTGGCAGTAACACCATTGAAATCAATTGATGATGAGAATGAGTTTAAGAATAAACGTTGCACAAAGCATGATATGACATATTGTCATGAATACCATCAGTATCTGAAAATCTGAACGAATTTATATGATACTCATACAAATTATGGAAAGATTATTATGGTGAATATATGAAATACGCGTTGTACTCTTTTTCCCTTGGCTAAGGTTTTGTCCCATTGGGTTTTCCTAGCAAGGTTTTTAATGAGGCAACAAGGATAGCGTATTCACATGAATAGTGTACTCTTTTTCCTTCATTAGGATTTTGTCCCACTGGGTTTTTCCTAATAAGGTTTTAACGAGGCATATTCATGGTATCATGAGCACTATTGGATAAATGATATGATTCCTCACGGTGATAAGAGAGACTGGAGTAGCTGTACTCTTTTTCCTTCGATCAAGTTTTTTCCCACTGGGTTTTCTTGACAAGGTTTTAACGAGGCAGCACACATGGATACTCCACTAAAGATGATCTATTTGAGGGGGAGCAAAGTTGTGCTTCCACGATGATCAGGTTTTGTCCCACCGAGTTTTCCTGACGAAACAATGTTATGATTTCACGATGATCAGGTTTTATCCCACCGGGTTTTCCTGACATGTTGAAGCAACGGTACCTGATGGCCACAAGATACACTTGAAGATGTACAGATTGGGCTTTATTCAAATTAGTTAAAATATGTTTAGAAAATAGTCATTCAAGGGGGAGTGTTATGAAATAATAAAATAATGTATGTGAATGACTATTTTGCCCTCGATGTATTTGTATTATTACAAATTGTGCCATCA